CTCTGAGCGTCACAAGGGAGCGTGGGGACCGTGAGCCAAACCACCTTTAACAAGGACTAAGATTTATCAGATGAAACATTCTTCAGCCTTTCAGAAGAATCACTGGATCAGAGAGGACAATATCCCAGTCATATGAGATCCTAAATCCTAAAATGATCTAACAGCATAGTGAAGCCCAAACCTCCATAAGTAACAAATTTATCTGCAACTGTTTCCTAATCAGGTGTCAATGTGAGATTTCTGGGAAGACCTTAATCTCTGGGGCAAAATGTAGTAATGAAATACATGTGTAACTCTTATTGCAGTTACCTGAGACAGGGAGATATTCATACAGCAGATCCAACCCTCCCTGAATCCTATCCCATCTTGTGCAGGGCTCTGTGGAAAATCCAAAATTACTTCTCCACAGTAGCCTCTCTCCCAAATGTTCCAGAGTTGACACCATGGAGCTTAGAATATTGCAGAAAGCAACAAGTAAAATGACTGCTGATGTGACTCTCAGATCCTGGAGCCAGGCTGGCAAGGATTACTAACAGCACTGATGGGTGCTCCTAAAGGATCCAGCTGAAATAGGATGATACTGTAGAAAACACTGTATATAAGCAATGAGACATAGCCATATTCTGAAGATCTACCTCAAGACTTACATGTGGGAACAAGACCTGGAGTTATTATATGGTTTGGCTCCAGAGAAAATCTATGATGGAACCATAAACAAAACACTAATATCCGGAAATCCAGATTCCCTTCACCAGCTAGGCAATTTGTGATCATCCTCTGGACTAAACCCAGATATCATAACAAAGATGGCTTGGCTAAACAGAGACACTACAATTGCTGTAATTCAAATATGGTTCATGTTTATCCTAGATTCCAGGCTATTTTTCTTACTTGCAGCCTCTGGCACCAAAGAATAATTTGTCGGGAAGTTAGAAAGAGTTATGGATCATAACCCCTCACCTGCCTGTTGGGAATGTACACAGCTGACGATATCAGTAGAATCTACACATGTCAGATCCTATCTATAGCACAGTCAGTGTAAGCCAGACCAGAAGCAAGGAAATGATCTACAGAGTCACACTCCAGAAGCTTTAATGGCTGGGAAATTGATTTTCCAGTAATGCACTGAAAAAGCAGTTTAAGAGGAAAAACAAAGAATCTCACTGGTTGGTATTATGCAGCAGAAGCCAGGGTACAGCCCTTAGGACACTGCTGCACAGAATGTGAAAGTGTTGTCATGACTGCCTACATAAGAATAAAGATATTCTTTTTACTGAGAGGAATAGGAGCTCAGTAATATCACATGTTATTGGCTGGAGACAACCCATTAAAGATGGAAACAGATTTAAGACTGAAGAATACATACCAAAAATGTAACATACTCCTGTGGCTCTCTGGTCTACTCTCCCTGTGGGATCTTCAAAAGGCAAAGCCAAACCTCGGCAGGTGATTTTTAGTGTACTAAAAGCCATATTCAAATATTGTGCATCTTTTTTGGTCTCTAATTTTAGCTCCTCAATGGCCTGATTTCTGGATGTGATGTAAACTGTTATCCTGAAACAGGTTTATGAGAGTTCTCTCTTTCTGTTCTCTGCAGAGAACAGCTGTCTCATCTTTCCAGTCCTCAAGTTGTTATGTGGCACCAGACATGGCAGCTGAACCCACCAGTCCCTTCTGTTGGACTGCCAAGTTTCAAGCTATGAAGATGGCAAGGGAGACCAGTTTGGGTCTTCTGTTTTCTAATTAAAATAATAATTAAAAAAGCCTTTGGTTATTCAGAGAGATGTGTTTGACAAACATTCATAGCTCTCAGGCAATTAACTGTGACCACTTTCTTTGGCAGACTTCATGCCTTTCAGTCCCATTCTACTCTCCCCCTCATCAATGCTTAGCGGGCAGGCAATCTTTTTTCCAATTCCCCAAACATATGAAAGTGTCCAAGATGTTTCAGCGTGGCCACTCTACAGGTGAAATCCCTGATATTGGGATGCCTTCTCTTCTGAATTCCACAAGCAAACTCTTTCTTACACTATTATCCACTGCAAGTTTCCATAATGAAACAGCTTGCCCTCATCTTCTATTCTGTCTGTAATCCTTTTGGTCAGTCTTTAGGCAGAGACACACAATCAGAATACTGCACATTACGCAGTAGGAAGAGGACACATGGAGCAGATGTGTGTGTTATCCACAGAGGAGGAGGACCTTATTTATGACTGCCATGACTTAACTCTAGCTTCTGCAACATTTGGCAGTAGTCAGCAATATTTATTTATTGTGTTGCCCCCTCTCTCTGCTCCCTTCATCCTCACCATTCCTGCAGTCTTGGAGCCCCACCTAAGCTACTCCGCATCCTGACCTACAACTAGGAATTTGTTCCAGTATGAAATTAAAGTGGCGCCATGGCAATTTATGTGACAATAAACTTACCTCCTTTTCAAAAAGAATAGGAAAACGGTCATCATCTACTCAGTCCCATTGCACAAAACACTTGAGCAGAGGTTATTACAACCTGAAAAAATGTGGATGTAGGCTAGCCACCCCAACCCAATCTAGCTAAGCCTCAATCTTCTCAACCCAATGAGATACAAGTGCTGTCATTCCTGCCTTGCAACAATTTTCCTGCAGGTCTCTTGCCTTGGGGCCTGCTTTGTGCATCCTTGAGGCCCCCTCTGCCTGTGGTATTCCTCTCTATTATGCAGCTACGTAATTCTTTCGAAAGTACATTGTTATCATTTTAAGTTTTTGCCCTCGCTACCTGCCCTCTGACATTCTCTTCAGCTGTCCTCCTAATTCCCTGTGACATATAATTGCCCTCCCACTTTCCAAGCACTTTCTTCAGGGCAACCCCTCCTGCTCCAGGAACTGTGATACTGATGTCCCCTCAGGAGTCTTACCTCAGCTGACCTGACTTGATTTCCAGCCTCTAAATAACCTGTCTGTCTCTCCTACCTTTACCTAGGAAATCAAGAAGGTAGAAGGCTATCTCAGAGTCACCATTTTAGCTGTGCTGTCCACAAGACTTCACAACCCTCCACTTCTAAGAGCTCTTCTCCCTCTCCCTTCCCTTAGGCTGAGGGAAGGAGGGACTGCTCCCTTCGTACCTGTCCCTTGAGAACTGGTAGGGGACCTGCAGTAATAACTTTATCTCCCTTTCCAAAGCCAGTGGTTGCTCTCCTGGCAGCCCTTCTGTTTGCTGCCCAGCCACCACCAAAAAGACCCCGGGGAATAAAAGGTCAAGGGAATGGAACACTACTGCAGTGAAGGCACCAAACTGGGCTCCTGCACTGCGGGCTCTCACCTCTCACCAGGGCCTCCTCCCCGTTAGCCTTTTGCTTGTTCCTTACCTCCTTTCTCCTCATATATGCTCCCTCTTTCACCCACTCTCATCACCCCTGAGTGCACCCACTCTCATCACCCCTGAGTGCTGTGATGTTGCCACGGACACATTATTGTCAAAGCAAAAAAGAAGTAGCATATGAGCACTGGCCTGAAACCAGCAGTTCCATACAGGGTCTGAAATGTTTCTTTGCAGCTTCCACTCTGCTTCCCTTTGCCTGCTCCCATAGGCAGATAAAAGGGACAAAGACAGAGCATGTGGGGCCAGCCAGGGCCTCGATAAAAAAAGGGTCTGCAGAACAGGCTGCAGGTCTTAGAGGCCGCTAGATTTGCCACAAAACAAAACAAAATAAAAACAGTGCACACTTTTTCACCTCATCAGTTAACATGTTCTAGGAAAGTCTGGAAGGCCACTTCCTCCCCTTTACAGCTTGCTAGTTGTCTTCCTTTCACAACTGAACCAATCAGGGTCCTCACTTACTTCACTTGGTACAAAGATTTTGCCTTTAAGTATACAGCAATAATGACTACTTTAGGGTTACTCTTGCTCTCAAACTTTGTAAAAGACTGACAAAAGGATTTTTGTCTTTCAGTGGAGGAGCATTGCTATCTATGACAATGCTAAAAAAAATGTAAGGCATCCTGTTTTTCCCTAACAATATTTCCTTTGACCTTATAATGGACCAAATAAGCCCAAAAAATATTTGTGATTCTTCTGTTGTGTATAGGATCATTTTAGCTTTTTTTATTGGATTTATTAAAGTGTTATCCAGAAATGGACATCACTTGAGAGATGTAAACAAATTCTTCTTACAGCTTTTCCCGTGAGTCATCTTGTCACATAAAATCTCTCAGCAGGTTGTGTTTCACAGTGAATAGTTACTTTGATAGTTATATAGTCTGTTTTTGAAGTGTGCACGATATTTCGAAGTTCCAGAATTAAAATGGCTTTGAAAGCAGGGTACTTAGTATTGATTAAAGTAGTTTGTATTTTCTATAGAAATGGATGTAGGCATGGCCGCAGCAGAATAATTACCTCACCAAGATGAACAATAGTTTATTCACTCCCATTTATAGAACAGTGTGATCAATTTCATAATCAGTAATCCTTAGAACAAGGGAATCTTGAGATATTAATATCTCTCAAGAAAAATTCAGCCTTGAGTTGTCATTGCTAAGTAATCTGTGCAGAACACCATGTTAACGACCATAAGGGGGAATTTCCAAAGAAGCACCAGTATTCCCAACAGTTTACGAAGGTCAGTTATGCAATGCCCTGGTCACATGACAAAGGTCAGCCTCCAGCCATGCCGAACCTGGAAATAGACTTAACCCTTCTAATTTTGTAATTCCTTCATCCATTTCTCTCCACCTCCACAGCCACAACCAAAATTCCAAAGTACATATGTGATGGGAATGTGCAAATGAATCCACTGGTATCATCTTACCTCACGCTCATGCATCCACTCACTCTCCTCTAACAGATTCTCCTTCACCCTCAAGTTTATGTGCTGCGTGCTGAATGCAGTACTGCCCCTCCACGTGTAATCCTTCCCTCAAAATCATTATGTCTCCCTCGTCTTTGCAACATTTCTCTTCTCCATCAGCTTTCTCTTCTTCAGCTGCATTTTTTTCCAACATATCCCTCCTCCTCCTCTCTCTCTCTCTCTCCCAGGTGTTTTTAAGGCTGATAAGCTCCCAGGCTGATTTTAAGGTGTCATGTTAGTCACAAGGGTAGTCCAGTCATTACCAGCCTAATGTGGACACAGCAAACTGGTTTTAACTCATGTTAAACTGATTGAGCTAAAACATAAGAGATGTCCTCTGCATAAAGCTCACATTTTAATAAATCCAGGGTCCTTTAAATCCTAATCTAGGAAACGCATTTTCACTTATTGGCATCTTACTCAGTTTTTGTCAGTTACTGACTCATTCCTTCCAAACTTCTCTCCTTTCGGTTGTGCTCTCTCTCTTTCAGAACCTGCCTCTTTTTCTCCCATTCCATCCCCAAAAGGCACCACTGCACAATACCCCATCACTCTAAACAGAACATAATTCTTTCTTTTCCCCTGAGACCCACAGCAGGATTTTTTTTCCTACCACAATCGAGGGAATCACGTGGCTTTTCTCATTTTGATACTTTTCCCTTTGCATGTGTTTATGTTAATATTTGCTTGTTTCTCATTCTTTAAGTTTTATCGCTCTTAAGTTTTATCGCTGCTCAAAGACAATATTTTTCTTAGAAGAACAAAGAACTTATTATCCCTCTTAGATATGGATAAGGCAAGGCCAGGATCTGGGAGTACTCTTGCTAATCGTGCAGGGAGGGAGAGGGAAACAAATGAGAGAGTAGAAAATAAAGAAGGATATAAATCATGACGGCAAAGGTTACAGATAGGGTTGACTTATGGCCCATATCAAAAATAAGGAGACCTGATACCGCCTTTCCAGTGGCGCCTTTGGTACCCAGGGGAAAATAAGTGGGAGCAGGAAACACTGTGTAATAGCCAACCCACACCAACACCTCCCTCTGCTGGCTATTGTCCAGATGCCCTGGATTGTTCCTCTTTGACAAGTGACACTACAGGTCCTCTATGATTAAAATGCATATTATAATTCACTGCAACACTCTTACGTCCTTAGACCACATAACAGTTTCCTCAAGTCATGTGTCATACACACTGCAATGAAGACGTGATTTTCTTCCCTCATTGCTGCTACAAGAGGGCGGAAGCTGCAACAATATCAGAAACAAGAAAGCCTAGACTAGGCTAGATCATTAACAAAAGAACATGCAGGCATGTATTCATAATGTGTGCATAAAGTTAAACACCATGAAAAAAAAAGTTGGTTTGACTTTCGTGTTTAAAGAAATAATGAAGCATGATCCTGGCTTAACAGACATAAAGAGGTTTTTGGCCTGTTCCCCAGATGTGCACAGCACCATAAAATTCCTACAGCTTTTCAGTTGCCAGTGCAATATAGAAGACACTAATCTGACTACAGCAGAACTCTTGCTGTTTTTTGCATGAGCTCTGCAATGTATGTTATTACGTCTAATGCAAAGTACCTCAAAGAGCTTCTGGAATTCCTTCCTGTGCTATAGAAGTGCTTACTTAAAATCAAGTTCCAGTTTTCCTAAGGTTCATATCTCTCAATCTTTTGCTGATACATATTAATCTTGATAGGCATTTCAACACAAATGCATTCCCCAAAGCTCCAACTTGTGGCAGAAAACCTCAGCTGATCTGCAAAAGCTCATCTTGAAACCTGGGCTCATGCCATAGCTCTATGAGTTCACTTTCTTCCTTGTTGCCCTGCTGGGCCAGCCCCTGGGCTGCTCATGCAGGTCTGCCAATGTACATTAAGATTTTAAACATTTGCCACCGGAATTCTCTGCTCTCTACCCATACATGTGGCTGAAAATTAAGAGGGGTCATAACCCATGTGAAACTTGGCTGTTCGTGAGTTTCCACAGATCACAGTAGCTGGACTTCCTAGGGAAAAATCTGGGTGAGAGGGAGGGGAAAGGAGGCCTGAAAGGCCTGAAACAGTCCCAAACTGTTTTGGAACGGGCACATTCCACAACCATTTTTGAAAGAGGAAATTCCAGCATCCCCTTCTCATTTCTGACTCATATCACATGACTTCCAGTCTGTTGTTTCAGTCATTTCATCCTCCTGTCTCTTTTTATGTCAGCTCTTTCATTCCCTCCCTCTTTTCCTTCTCCTGTTTCCCTCATTACTCTCTGCTCTTTTACTGGCCTTCCTGCTTTTCTTTCTCTAAATAACTCTAATCCTGTGAAAAATGAACAGATGAGCTCTCCGAATCCTGTATTAGTTATTGCGTGGGTGAGAGCAGAACCCTCTTTCCCAAGCTCACCTCTTCCAGTCCTGACCATGGCATGGCCATTTCTAGGGATTCAGCCTTCAGTGGTCATTCAGCTGTTGCTTCTGAACAGAGCCCCGGAATGCAGCCAGGGCAGACGCTGAGGTATGTGATGATGCACCCTAGCAGTTATTTATGATGTGGCAGTGTGTCTGTTGACCCTGGAAACTAGAATGAGGCTCCTCTAACCTTCCATACAGGGTTGCTACGATGTCAGGCACTTCCATTGGGGAGCAGGAACAGGGCTAAGATCAGGCAGTAATTCTGTTAGGAATGACCTGTTGCAAAAGAGAAGGGCAGAAACAGGCAGGGCCGCCTGCCGATCAGCAGCAGAGACCACAGAGGAGGTGGGTGGTTGATGCCCATGTTCGACTGGCAGTTAATTGCTTGCCAGAGACAGCCAGGGAGAGAAGGAGGGAAGAGCAAACCGGTTTCCATGGCAACTGTGCTCATGCCATGTGAGGTCAAAAAAGGGACTGAGGCTGCCAAAGAGAATTAATTTTGATGAGAGGATAAAATCCGCAGCAGTGACTGAGTGACTCAGTCTGCCAGTTTAGGCGTCTGAACAGCTTTGCAAACACCCCTCTAACGGTCTGCACTTCTCCCAGCTATTGTGCCCTTTGGGGGCTCTCCCAAAGCCTGATTATCTATCTCAATGCCTGTCCTGAATCCACCTCTAGCTATTTTTGTTTCTAGGTCACTGAGAATACAACTGCATAGCCAGCAGAGGTTGGCTGCTGCGCAGCTGGCACATCCGTGCTGGTTTTGATCACTAGGAAGGACAGCACCAACTACACTGCACAACAGACTGTACCAACGCACCAGGGATTCTCAGTGAAGAGTCGGGTGGCCAATGGCCATTTTGTCACAGTACCTGAGCCAACTTAATGAATGCACATGCATCCCTAGTGACAATAAAGCCATGTAGGCTTTTTGAAAAATAAATAAAGAAAGAAAAAGCTTGGAGGACTTTGCAGATCTGTAAATCTTTCAACCAGCAAAGCAGCTGGAATTCTGCGTGTCCCCTCTGCAGAATCCGAATGTGTTGAAATAGATTTCTATTGCCACCTGGTGGATAACTGAGCATCTAGAATAAACACTAGGATTTCTCCCCTCAGCCATTACTTGAGAGAAGCTCATTCTCCTGCACTTATTGTACAGGCCTTTACTCTTGCCACATCACAACTTTTTCACATTAAATGGAATGTGGAAGAATGTTAATGATTTTAGATTAACCACTCCAAGATATTCCAGTCATTACAAGTCTTCTGTGCAGTTCTCAACTGAACACTGGCAATTTTCTTGACTCTTCCACATGGTGTAATAAAGATTCCCTCCTAAACTCCCAAACTTGTGGTTTATCTGACTTTAAAGCACAAGCCTTCTCCCTAGCCTTGAGAACTGCAGAATGAGTCATCCACAGTGGGTCAGTTAATGAATGGAAAATTACCAACCCCATTTATCTTTGGCAAAAATTTATTTGTAGGATTTTGCCCCTGCTTACTGAGGAACATTAAGAACTACAGACAGAATCAGACTATCTGTTTATCAAGTCCAGGGTTTCATATTTAGCTTAAGGCTAGATGCCTCATGGAAGGCAGTAAGGTCAGCTTGCCCTCACATGCTCCTTTCATGGACATCGCTGCAGCTTCTGCTGGAACTGGGTGACCATTGCCTCACTTCTAGTAAATAACATACCATTCAGTAAAACAGTCCTCTGTGAATTCCTCACATCTCACAGGCTGGGATGATTCATGGCATCTTGTTGCTCCCAATAGCTCGCACTCAGTGAATGAAATCCCACGTTCAGTAAGATACATTCCAGCTCCAAGTGGATGATGGTACTCCAGCATCAGCTTCAGCTCCATGTCAAATTGTCTGTGGAACTGCATCAACTCCTTCAATAGCCCTGTTTCAGAGATGATGTCCCCTTGCCACAAAAACAAAACAAAACAAAACCTAATGTAATGTTTATTGTTTTGGTAGTGTTAATCCTGTTAACCTCCTTTTTTTGTTGTTGTTGCTGTGGGGTTTTTTTTGTTTGTTTTTGGCAGTGATTTGCTTTGTTTGGATTTTTTTGACCGTCTTCTGTTTGTGCTACAGATGGTACCTTGTCCTGACTACCTTGGACTACCCTTCTAATGCAGAAAGTGAAGTATTTCTCACAACAGTTTACGAAGGACCCAGGAGAGCACCCTGTGCAGAAACTATACCCATAAAATTAAAGGCAGGGGGACAGTATGGGGACATTTGGCAGCACTTTGAAGCTAAATGTGACATCAGGAAGCAATGCAGCATCCCCATTTCCAGCAGAGGAAAATTCCTGATGGAACCGAATATGTCCTTTCATGTACATGTTTTTGTTTTTTAATTCTCTGCATCTATACTGACATCCACTGGCAAGAGCGTAAAGCTGAGCATTGGAGGGGCTCATAATTGGTAGGGATTCGCCAGCTCTCTGCAGCTTCGTGTTTCAGCTTCATGTTCAGTCTGGTGCATTCACAATTGTTACCTCAGGACAAAATAGGCATTAGTGAGTTGTTTGTCTCCACTACGATGGAAGGGTTTTGATTCCACAGGCACCACAAACTCAGGCAGTCCAAGAGAAAACCTACCAACCTATTCCTCCATTCCAAAATGAAGCAGACTCATCACAATGACATATGCCAGCAACAGGTTATATGGGTCAGAGAGATGCCAGGGTGTCTAGGAATGTCATGGGCATAGGATTTGGCTACAAAATTCAATGGATTTGTACATCCTCAAGTTCAAGATACCAGGGATGGA